AATTGGAGTATGTCCATTTCTTGCCTTTAGAGTTCCACATCAGTTCCTTTTGCTTCCTTCAACTGTATTCTGTTGGATGTCAAACCGTTTTTAAACAATCAGCACAGGTTGGCTGGTGTGGCACCGAGATAAATCCAACTCTTCGCACAAAGCCTACAGAATAGAAAGCATCTGCAGCTGGGCCTGGCCATTTTAAGTACAGTATATAGCTTTTCGTTACCATACCGAAACTCGGTATGCTTCGCCATGGTTGCTCATCCAATGGCTCCAGCTCACAGTCTTAGGAGCAGACCACGGAGAGCCAGCTGTTGTACTTAGCAAGAGACGACTTGGTCGAGCAAATCAATCTATATACAGTAAGATAGCCAGAGGAGACTGGCTCTGTTTGATTACCAGAATCACAATTAGGATTGGGATGCATTGGGCAAGTCGTAGAGTTGATCGAGTAATCGCAAAGAACAACAATTACAACCTTCTAAGGATTTATGCTATAGTTGCTGTTGGGTCTCAGGTTGGTCTGCAGCAAAAAGAAGTTTGAGTATTTGGCAGGTTGCTCATTGTTTTTCAGTTGCTCCAGATTGATGACAGGTTGCTTGCAACAATGATTTTGACAACATCACTGCTGTCTTGCCATCTGTGGCGGATGATATAGCGGCTCTCATCTATGATGTATTGTTGCACTAGCTTACACTAACATGTTTGCAAGAAACCAAGTACTATCATGTCCAATCACCCCAAACCGTGAGCTTGCAAACACTTGCAGCAGCAAACCAACCAACGGACATATGACGTAAAAATATCTCAGAATATAGGTGATCAGAATTTTGCCAAGCACTTTTGCCACAGGCTAACCACAGGGGACATCGACTGCCCTTGGCCAAACCTGCACCTTAAACGCAAGGGCCGGACCGTTTGAACATGTTTGAACCAAATCAGTTCTTCAAGGAAGCTCCTCCCTGCCGACCAAAACAATGAACATATCACCAAAAAACAAGGGCATAGATTAAGATAAAATTAAGAGAAGAAAGCCGCAATTGCAATGTGTTTTCTTTGGAAGCATGGCAAGAGATTCATTGAGTTCATGTTGCAGTAGTTGTTGCATCAAGTCCAAGACCAAAATGTCAATTCCTTCGTTCCTGCAAGCGTCGATGGTGTCTTGGGTTGGCTCGTAGAAGGCCTGAACGGAGCGCCAAGCACCGTCAACCCCCCTGAGAGAAACTGTTCAGTGCTACGCTACATTGTTCTACTAGGTCCTACAATCTCAGATGACCTGACATGAATTCTGGTGTGCTTAAGCTGCTTGCTTCATCTTGATTCTCTTCAAGGTCTAGACAACCATCTGATTCCTCTGGAATCGTGATGTACGGCCCGCGGCCTGCAATGGCTTCCACTCCTCCTTTGCTATTGCACCCGAACCTGGGGGATGATAAATGATGCTTACGATTCAACCGGTTTTCCAATGAGACCATATTTTTCCGGTGAGATTCGATGGAATGGGCAACTGTGGTTTCCTGGGTCCAGCGCTTCAAAAGTACCCCTGTGGATTTTGCAACACAGCCCATCTTCCGTGCCTCAAATCCGCAAAGGGAATCAACCTTCTTGGGAGTTCCTCAGCTTGCTCAACCCAAGCTGCTTTCTTTGGATTCTTGCATGGACTTGTCAGACTCCTCGGAGGACGGGGTGCATCACAATTCATCACCGAGCAGCTTGACATCGTTGGGTCATCCTGAGTGGTCCGTCTTTAGCTTTGAAAAAAACAAGCTGATGTCTTGAATCTTGGCAAGTGTTATATAGCTCTCCGAATGGTGATACTACAAGGAGGAGTTGCTGAGCTGTCCTCCTTCGCTTCCAAATCCTTGGGGCTTTCTTTCACCTGGCACTTGCAGGGAGATGCAGGAGTAGTCAGATCTGTCGATAATCCCGAAGTCCAATGCAGGAATTGCTCCTTGCATGACCCTGGCTTAGTGGCTGGGTAGTGTGCAATCCATACAAACCCACAGTCCACAGAAAACCGATTCTTGTTCCTTTGAGGCACAGTACAGACTCCATCGAGCTGACTCAGCTACAGGATGGACCCCTTGCTGAGATCACATACACAGGGGTGTGAAGAAATACTATGCTCGTCTCGCTGGTACGCATCAAGCTGTGCACGCAGTGCACTGTGCAAGTCAAACGAAGCATGAAATATGAATCTTGGACATTGCTTCTCAAGTGAATTTGCCAGCCACCAAGTCTCAACAAGGGTGCATCCTTTACTTTTTCCAGGGCACCTCTGTGCTAGGTTTGACTTCCTGCTCCTCAAGAACACACAGCATTCCCAACATTGGAAAAGCGTTTGACTTTGCGGAAATACATACATTGGCTCGATCGACACATGTCCACAGTGGTTGAAACTGCTTGAAAGCCCTTCACTGAATCAGCTAAAACGGCATGTGTATCCTGCATTTGCTCAGGTTTCTATCACGTCAGCTCCTGCGCTCGGAGCACCAGGCGGGGCGGGGTGCCTGACCAGGGAGGTTTGAGGTCGAAAGCTGTGCTGCTTGATCCTTGGATTTGCTTGTTGTTTTCAAAAGTGATGATGCAGAATCTGGATACTCAAATGACCAAAAGTGAGGAATGCTAATATGAAATATGAAACAACGGCATGTGCTGGCCGTGACAGGAACAATCAACTGTAACTGTCAACTAGTTTTAGTTTGGGTTTAGGATGGTTTAGGTATATTGTGTTTGGGAATCAGTATGGACACCAAACCACCTGAATCAGCCCTTGGATGGAACGACCAAAACCACGAAAAGTGTGGCCACCGCTAGCAATACAGTAACCACCATCATCATACATCAGAATCATCAATATAGTCATCAATATACTGTAGAGCAAAATACATACAGTATCCCGGACGAGCGCAAATGACACTAGTGGCACGCTCAGTTGCTCAAGTCTCCACACTCTTTCCTGCAGCCCAAATGACATGTCCTCACACTGAAGGCGAACCAAGGCTAGTGACACTTCCACCCATGTCTTGACAGACCTCTGCTTGGAGCGACAAATAGCCAGCTGCGACAAAGCCTCATTTTCTGCATTTTGCCGGGCTGCACACAGCAATAATTCGGTGCGAATGAAACCATGTCCTTTGTGCATCGATAAGACTCTGAGATCTAAGATATGAACACATTGAACACCATTGAACACATGAATCCTCCCCCAACAAGTGTCACTGGGGCCTCGGGAGGGATTAAACGTGGAGGAATCATGTGTAACGGCGAGACGCACGCATCTTTACCTGGGCCCTCTGGGCCCTCAAACGCAGTTACCAGCAACAGGATGGCCCAACTACCTGAGCCATCAGAAAACACACGCGAAAGGGAAAAAGCTCACCAGCATATAAGAAAATACTCTCGACAGATCGAATATGCAGATCGCAAATACCTGCCTGCCTGCTAAAACGGACCTAACACCAGAAAAAGCGGTCCCCAGTCCGTGCCTCCACGTCGATTCTTCCCCAACGCCATTGCAAAACCGCTGGTGCAGTCGGGGCTGTTTGTGATGCTGGTTTGCACATGTTTGCGCACCTTTCCACCTTCACGCAATATCTCTTTTTTTACCACTGGTTCGGACCCACTTTGGCAATGACCAAACTTTGTTTCGGACACCTTGTAGGTGGAGGTCGGAATTGATGTGCACGGCAAAATCATGGTACACTGGCTTGTTACCTGACCATGGGTCAGCTTGTGTGAGTTTCCATGAACAGTTGTTGAGACGGCTTACGAAGACCTTACCTCTTTTAAACTAAAACATGAAGGACTTTCTGGTTCACTGCCAACTGCTTTAAATTGCGCGCCTTTTGGGGGGATGTGTTTGTACTTGCTGTAGCTGCAGCTGGGCCAACAAGCTGAGGGTTCTAGCTCATCTTTCTGCTTTAAGATCATGGACAATCAATGACTGAATCCTGTCCAAGTACTTTGGATCGCAGTATATCATCCAGCAACCCCTGGAAGTCGGACTTTAAGGGCATTTGAGTGACTCGTACAGACACTTCTTCTCCCTGATGCAGCATGCAATAGCATAAGAGGGCCTCACCAAGGTGTTTGAATGAGCCATGGATGCTTCAAGCAAAGTTTGTCGTAGGCGTCCTGCACTCTTAGAGTCTTGTGAACCTAGTCTTGAGAAAAAAACAAAGCACGGCCAGGAACATGAGAGTTTTGTGAGATGGCAATGCAGGGTCGCAGGGCAGGTTTTTCTCCAGTAAATGCTTAGCCAGCGGAAGAGTTCGAGATCCTCAGAGTTGCTTCGGTGCAAGGGGCTGATCCAAAGAAATGTGAAGCGGTCACGTGGCCAGCAAAGCGGCCTGGGGTCTAGGTGACTTGACCTATTTATTTGCTTTGTTCATTAGACATGAGCAAAAACAAGGCTTTACACGACTTTACACACATACGTGGAGATCTGTATCGGTCTGTCCGAAGGTTCCTCTCTTCCAACAGAAACTGCCTCCTTTCTCCTATCCTCAAATGCCAAGCCAACAGCAACTGGCTTTTGCTCGTGTCCAGAAGCAAGCAAGTTGTTTGTTGGAAGGAGCCGAGAAAGCAATGCAAAGCAAAGGCAAAGGCTACACCCCAGATTGACACTGCTCGATTAAACAAAGTGCTTGTATGTGGTGCCAGTAGTGCCTTCACTTCACACTTGCCGTGATTCTTTCGACGGTGGCGAAGCAAATCTTTTCGACATGTCAGGAAGCCGCATGCTAGATACTACTCGTATTGCACCTGTCTAGTTATATTCAAAAAAACATTAAGATCATATGTATATAAGTTGTTTTTCCAAGTGGATGTCAAAACTGGTAGGTTGACCTTCCCAGTAGCCCAGTAGTCCATTCCATGCTGCGCATGTGTTTCCCTTGAACCAGGGCTGTTATTGCTGGAGATTCCAGGCCCGGTTGTTTCGTGAAAAATGGGTGCGACCCTTTATGCCGCGTGGCCGCCACTCCCAGCAAGACTTTGGCTGGTCATCGGCTGGGCCTCAGTGGGATCGTTGACCGGAATAGCTTCGAATGTGCAGTGCAGGTCTATCAAACTATCCTGTTACATACTATTATACACAGTACATATATCATATGCTGTCTGCTAAGTTACATAGACATAGACTTTTTGCTCCGGCTTGGATCAACAAACAACTCTTAGCAAGGCCATACAGGTTAGGTTCTGCTGAACACCAAAACAATAACAACAAACAAACCGAGTAACTACAGCTTTAGGACTTTGTATGACTTTAGGCTTTAGGCTTTAAGACATAACATCGGTTTCACGATTTGCCCCATTCAATGACCATAAGGCCCGAAAGGCCCGCACTCTGTCCACAGCCACGATTGAATCGGGACACATGGTAGACTGGTAGACCGTTTTGGACTGGTAGGTCGGTAGGTTGATCGACGCTCGATTAACCAGATCAATGTTATTCGCTTTCAAAACGACGCTCGAGCTGCGTATCTCGTCCAACAGGCAAGTGCGACATGCTGAGGCGACCGACAACTTCGATTTCAAACCCTGCCCACGAGGCGCTTCCACCTGAGACAACTGGGATGACATCTTAATCTTAATAGAAACAACACTGATTGGATGCCAAATGGACAAAAACACAGCGGACTGGCGTTGGACACTAAGTACGAGATGGTACGAGTATGAGTACACCCTGAGCCGCTTGCTTGGGAGACTACCTTCCCTTACAAACAAGGGTTGTCCACTGCCATGCTAGTGAGTCGGAGTGTAGGTACACTTGGACAGCGTACCAAGAGCCTGGTTCACAAAATGAGGGACCCCAGTTGACGGTGTAGGATGTTTGAGTGACACTGACATGGACCTTGCCTGTTTGGTCACACACCCAACTATTTGATGTGTCCTGCAGAGGTCCTTCGGATGTGGCCATTGGGCCTAGCGTCCTTGAGAAAACATCAAAAGTCTTGCCAAACAAACAAGACACAAAGGGGTCTAGCAAATGCATGCGATAATGTGTGGATACGACTTGAAGAGAGCTCAAGTGTTCTCAAACACAACTCAACTTATGCTCCTTCAAGCCCCGCACAGCTCGGAAGAAAAGCAGCACAGGATGCTCTGGAAACCTACGTTTGTCTGCTCAAAAGCCATTGTCAAATGGAATAGGAGAGGGGTCGGTGGGACTGTGAATAAATTGAACGCCTTGAGCACAAGAATTGAGAACACCTTCCTGAAAGTGTACCATTGAGAGGTTGAAAGCTGTGGATCAAAGTCACCAACCTGACACTTGCAGCTGCGTTGCGCTAGTGAATGACTTTATGAAAATGCCAACATGCAAATCCGTGCTAATCCCTTAGAAGTGCTTGTGATGAGTTGTTAGGCCCAGTGAATGCAGCATGTGTATGTTCCAATGGCAGGCCAATAGAAGCTGAAAGCATTTTGCTTACATGCGTGTGCCTTTCTGCATGCTCATCAATAGCCAAATCGAAGGCAGTATCCTGGCATAGCTGAGTAAAAGGGCTGCATGCAAAGCCTCTTGCGGCTATTGCCTCCAGGAGTCACGAGCCTGTCCTGGAATTGTCTTTCCTATCAAGGGTTCTCTCATCAGTTGACCCTCCAGACTGCAGGGGACTCCAGCGGGCAAGATTTGGGAACGGATAGTTCAAAGTCAGCAGCTAGTTGCTAGCCTCCCTTTGACAACCTTCTCTATGCAGGGTCCCACATCAACCAAGCCGGGCTAAATGAGAGCAAAGCAAGATATGAAATTGAAATTTGCAAACTTGGGGTGTGCAAAGATCTCACATGCAAATGTATTGAACATCATGTCAACCTTTTGGGTACCTCTGCACCAACCTCTTCTCCTGATAAACACGATGAACAAAGATTGGAAAACAGTCCACGAAGGCGCTCCTTGCTTCTATCCATCATCCCAAGGTCAGCGCCCATGTCCACCAAATACTCGACCTTGACTGACAAAAGGATGTGTCTCTCTAAGTGCCTTCTAAGCAAGGGCGAAGGGTTAAAGGCCAGCAAAAGGCTCCCAAGAAAAAAGAGTTGTCAGGTGTCAAACATCAGGACATCTCAACTGCAAAGGGCATGTTGGCTGCCAACTCGCGACTTGTGAGGAAATCCTGGAGATCTGACCAACAAGGCGGGCACAGGCTGAAGCTGGACAGCCACATGGCATGGGGAGATCTTTAACATTTCGATTGGAGAAGAGCTTTTGATCTGGAAGAAGGGTTGCCAGTCCTGCAAGAAAAGGTTTGCACACGTTTGCACGATTGGTTGCGAAGGTCTTGTGGAAAGCTCAATATGCAAGCACGAACTGTTGAACTCAATGTAAGTTTAAGTCCATTTCACCACCATGTGGAAAAGAACAGCCAGTATATACGGTTTGTATACAATTACAAAGGAAAATTGCTGAGTGCTTGCTGCTTGTAGGTCTGGATTATTGCCTTCTTGTACTTGCCTTTGCACGACTAACTTATCAAGAAGATTCAATCCATCCCTGGCTGATCGGGCTACAAATAACAAGTAGTTATCTACAAGTTACGTATCGTGCATAATGACTCCCCAGCAACTAATCGCAAACATGACAGCACAAAACTCAATACCTCATAAGGACACAGAACACAGGCTAATCGAAATGTTTTGGAGTAAACAACATTGAATGAGCCGAATTGACAAAATCATGCAATTAGCATGCGTGTATGAAAAAGGTACGACGTCTTGGTGACCATCTCTACAAAGCTCAAGGAGAATGGAACACTTTGCATGCTGCCAACTTGAATCTTCTGAAAGAACTTTCGGCAGCCCTCTCTAAGGTCCTCTTTTGTGATTTCATCATCTTCAAATGTTCAATCCCTCCTGAGGCACCTGCACATTCCAAGCTCCCAGCCATTGCTGCGAACATGAGTGGCGTCCTCGGTCATGGCTCGACCAAATCTGGGAATCCGACAGAAAACTTGATTCATCCAACTCCGCGCTTGGATGCACTCCGATTAAATCCATGTCCTTTTTTGCAAAATCAACCGCACACCGTAGATGTCATGGCTGTCATGGATATCGAAATCCCCATAAAAGGCTCCCCAAACTTCCTTTCCGCTGGTTCTTAACATATATGCAGCGTTCTGCCAGGATGCTGCAGGTTGTGATCCCTGCACGAAATATCCAGTTCCTCATCCTGGGGCGTCTTTGGGTCAGGCACCTCTTGAACTTTAGTTCAACAGTTGAGTCTCCCTGAAAAAGACTCCACCTCTGGCATACTCTCAGCAAGCTTAACGATGTACTTTTCTTGACCGGATTCTTGACCTAGATTCTAGACAAAAACAAGTTCGGGTTTTAGCTGACGAGAGGCCTTTGCGCTCCTACCTATGCAACGAAAGTCTGCTAAAACCCAAGGAGAATCCTAGGTATCATTCAATGGTGGGTTGTTCCTTCTTTGTCACTCATGATTGATTGAAGATGTTCGACATAAGCTACAAGAGGCGAGATACATTGGTTATATAGTATAGTGTTGTATACTGTATGCACAAAAATATATATATATATACCTGAGAAAGGAGAGGACGAAAGCCAGCGAGAGACCAATATGGTAGTGCAAGACTGGGAAATAATAGCGGAGCACTTATTGTTGAATGCCTGTAGCTTTTGTGGAGCTTGTATCAACGTGGAGTAGATCAAGATCGGAGCACGGCATGAAGTGTTGAATGTTTTAGGTTTTCTCAACTTTCCTGGCGCGGTGCTCTCTGGAGCGTCCCTGTTTGGTGGTCTACTTGAGAATCCGTGTAAAAATAAACGTGAGTGAAGACCAGGAGAAGGATGCCCGAAAGGTGGTTGTTGGTTGTTTTGAAACGTGTTTCGGGCATCGTGCATCAATGCGAAGAAGCCCTATAAAGTCACTGCGACTGAGATCAAGATCGGAGCACAGCATGAAGTGTTGAACGCTTGCAGCTTTCTTGCTTCTCCTCTTGCGGCGCTCTTATCCCCAAGCCTCTACCTCGCCCAACTGGACTTGCTCACATCGTTCGCTCCCAGAGCGTTCACTCTTTGTTGCTTGGTCCTTCTTGGCATGATCAGAGCTACACAGTCCCTATGCTCTGCTCAGGACTAGAAACATTGTCTCCAGACCCCTTCATGATGCTAATGATGCACTGCTCGGCGTCCATTGCATCACTCGCATCACCAGACCCCATTTTCACTGCTTTTCTGACCCTCGCTTTGGAGCGCTCTCCCCCACCAAGCTCCGGGTTCACCCTCTCAATCGATGCCTTTTCGCGCCCTCCCCCCCCCCACACCCCCTTAACTCGCTTCGTTCGCTCTAAGAGCTCAAGCCTAGCCTATCGGCTGGCTTTCGGAATATATATGTGTATACAAAGTTTTGTGCTGGTCTTGCCTCCAACAAATCAGCAAGCTTCACAATATCACCGTCATAGGCCGCCTGGTACCTGGCGAGTCCAGGGATACCTCAAACCGGCGGCTCAGGTTTGATATCAATGGGAACAGATTTCCCTCCACCCGGAAGTTGGTTAGAGATACAGTATCTTCTCCACTTCTTGCGTGGCCTGCGGCTGAATCAACTCAACTATTGTTGAGATCTCACCAAACCTCAGGAAGATCAAAGTCCCCCGTTGCAAATTGCCGCTGGATCTCACCTGGACCTGGTCTGGCTGTTGATACTCGTTTCCAATGACAACAATACATACTAAGCCAACAAGCACGGGCCAAAAAGGAATGGTGAGTGAAGGTCCAACGTGGTTCTTCTTGATTGGGTAGAAGGATGGTCAGAGTCCGGCGCACAAAGCCAACATGGACTCCGGCATGGCTGGTGCCCTGGGGAACCTTGGCAACCACTGTCAGCGTCGATGCAACTCTGGCACTTCGACGCTTCAATTTCCTGGAAGATCGGAAGATCTATGAAAATTGAAAAAGCATCTGGCCCGAAAATACCAAATAGGCAAAATGTCCAATGTCGCTGACATCACCTCGGAATCCACACTTGCCCTGATAGACATCTGCTGCAGCTGCAGCGTCTAAACCTTCTGTACGACGGAGGTAGACCTGTGTGCAGTGTGTTGGTTGAGGCAATCATAACAAACACCAGAAAACATTAAGGCCAGGCAGGGCTTGCTCTGTAGCTATTGGTGTTTGTCTCAGCATCCATTTTGATATACATTGTTGCCACTTTCGGACTGGGAACTCTGAATGTAGTAACCAAGCAAACCCTCCTTGCCTCACATAAGCGTTTCCTCTCGCGGTCCCACGCATCGAATGCATCCAACCACACCTCATGGGGCCAAACAACTCAACAACTAGGCCAGGCTGTGTCTGGTGGATTTTGCCAATTGAGGGATGGTCAAAATTGATCAGCCCCTTCAATGTTTGGGAATGTTGGTGAGCAAACCTGTTCAGGTTCGGTGAGCGTCTCATGTTCATCATGAACCAAAACCATACACCATCGCTCAAGATTGAATCGTCAAAATCGCCGTCAAAAATGCGATTCGACTGCAAGCTTCTGTATTGGCAATAGAAGATCGGAAAGCCTTGTTATCCTGATATCCTTCTCCCTTACAATTAAATATTAAAGCCAGGTATCACTATAATGGAAAGCTAGGTATTCGTTTTTTGCTATATCTACTCAGCTTCTGCTTCCCCAGCTTGCCTCCCAAGGCTTCCTGTGCTTTGCCCAAGTGGCGTCATAGTCCACTGGAAAGTCCTGGACATTTCAAGATTTCAGTGTTGGGTGGTACCATAGGTTGTGCACAAATATGCAAGAAACAATATATATTTTTGGCTCACGATAAACAATGCGGAATTCTTGATGGAATGATAGCCAATCAGGAGCCTGTCTTTGTGCCATAGGGCGCTTCGCTTCTGAGGAGTTTGACCACAGCTGAAACCTCAGAACAAGACCTCTATGGCACATTATGCCGAAACTTTCGCTGGACTCATCACAATAAGCGCAGGTCGCCGAAAATATACAGTATACGCCTGCACCTCACTGACCGTGCGCCCACAAAAGTTCTTTGCGATCCTTTTTGACGCATGCTCCGGTTCGAGCGCCGGAGTGCCAATGCTTGACAGCCCAAACACAAGCGATGCTTGCAGACCGCCTGGCCACTTGCGGCAAACCACTATCATATTTGCTCAGTTGGGCAAATTTTAGGCGACTTCAGTTGCATCACTGAAATCATGCGCATTTTGTGATCTATATAGTTACTAGTTGTCCTGCAACCAAATCCGCATAGGTTTGGTGGACTGTGCCTGAAATACTTACAGTCAAAACTAGTTAGAACCAGTGTCCGAATTAGCTTGTGTATGGCAGTTCCTGGGGCATTTTCAGAAGAGCCAAGTCAAAAAACACAGGCCTTGCTTGAGCATCCAGGAAAGTCACAGCTGACCACGAACCAAGATCCAAATCCAGGAAATTGTGTTGTTTCGCCTGTATTGCAAATACTATGTGTGTTCCCATTCTCAAATCTTCCCATACCTATTGACAGGTGGGATACAAATATTGCATTCCTTGGACAAGTGGGTTCACTGAATTGTTTATTCACCTTCAGACTCCAAAGGCACAAATTGCCATAGCTGTCTTGGAGATAAAATATGTTGAAAAAATTGAACAAGGCCTATTAAGCCTATCACCCCCAATTCCCAGCAACGCCAGTGCATCTGAGCAAGGTGCCAGGAGTGTGTCAGGAATTTCTACTAGAGTTGACCAGAACCTCGCCGCATGATATGTGTAGGGATTGGATTGGCAAAGCCGGGTCTCGTTTCGAGACAAAACAAAACATATTAGAACAGCCGTGACTTCCTGGGTCACTCATCAACGCCACGCAGGAAAATATGACATGGCTAGACCGGAAGGTCCGATGGAGATCTTCGGATTTCAACTTTGTGTTTTTTCTGGCCACGCAACACGAAGACCACAACAACAACAACAACAAAAACCGCAGCCCCCTCAACACACATCTTCTTACTTTAACTTTGTCTCTACATTTTTGGACACCCCCAACCAACAACCCAAAAACACAAATCACAAAAACGAACCAACCCAGGCTTAAGTGAAAACCACGACTCCCTCAAATGTTCCGCATCCTTGCCGATGCTTGTTTGTTGCTCCTGTTGCCCTTGAACGCCTCCATGGTTTGCCCACTAACCTGTTGAAGGCAAAATGACGGAACGGCTTTAAATAAACATACTTACTACAATACGACTGCATGGTGCCATTTAATGAACGACTCTGCATGATGCAATGCAAATTTTGCCTACTACCAAATACTACCAGATGAACCGCAACTTTACCGCGTGAACTGCAGAACCATAATTATAGTGGCTAGCGCCTCAGGAACGCATGGCTCAAAAACATCCCGCCGGGCTCGTTTCCGCGCATGCAGTTGAAGACATTTGTCAAACCTTCACGTGTTCAATGATGACGAATGTCCAGTGTGTGTGACTGTGTTTTGCATTGATGTGAAAGGTTTGTTGCAGCATGTAGTACATGAAAACAATTCAAAAATCGTTGCGATTTTGACATCGAAATGCTACGAGACTGTGGTTTCGTGCGAAAAAAGGCGCGCCAGCATCATCATCACAGTCTGTGGGACAACTTTTGGCTCCAGCGCCATTGCCACTGTCGATGTTTGGGTTTATACCGTCACCTTCACTGGACGGAGTGTGTAGAAGGGGGTCAGCAAACATCGCTTATACAAAGTTAGTATGCACTATGATGTACTGAACATGCAACGTCTTTAGCCCCCCCCCCCCCCCCCCCCCCCCCCCCCCCACCCCTCTTCCACAGCGTGTGCGCGCGTGGCTTCCTAACAAAAATGCACACAACATGAACATCACTAGCCCCCCACCCAACCCCTCTGTCTTTTGTAGGGTCCTAGGCTCCCCTAGGCGTGTCTACGCTATACGTATATAGCACCTGTTGTCCGTAGTTACTTGTACATATATTCTCTTCAGTCAGCTGCCGCTTCATTCACTTGGCTCAAGACTTTGAAGCCCAATACTGCACTCCGTGCATAGAAAAGTGTGCTCGCCGCCGCTCGCACACTTGACACACAAGAGAGGCTCTTACTTTGCGTTATCGATCAGGCCCCGTGTACTTCACTGCCACTTTGGGGAACTTACCCCTCACCCCCCTCCCCCCTAAACCCCCCCGTGTCCCCATCTTCCATATTCCAATGCGTGTGTTTGTGTGTGTTCTTGCCCCCCCCAAAGGACTGTATGAAAAAAAGTTTCACTACACGCGCGGCTTTAAGCCCATTAGCAAAAACATGCTGCCCAAACTCCCAAAGCGCAATCAGGAAAGTTCACTTCTTCTGAGCCTGCTCCAAGAGATAACACCGATGGACGAAGAACTCTCTAAGGATGGAAGACTATATTTTGCATTTTCACTAACAGTTTTTCACTGTCGAGCAGACCCTGTGCAGCACACAGGGTCTCCGACCCACCCTCGCATGGCGATTTAAGGAGATTCATCAGGGTCTGACTGAGGTCTGACTGCTCCCAAAGCCAGACCGGCCCGGATTTGCGAGGTGACTCAGTGCTGCGCGCAGGGTCTACTCGCAAAGTTTTCTGGGAAATGTTAATCTCCGATTCTTTGGAGTTCCGATTGCGAAGTGCACTGAAGTTCAACTGCTGGGAGCCTTCACAGCGCTACGCCCACCAGACCCAACGCGGTGAAAGCAAGGCGTTGTTTTTATAATAGTCTATATCCGTTTTCAGGTGAAGACATGTTTGCGCAACTGTCGCTGAGGGCCCGAAAGTGCTGAGACACGCGGGCTTCAAACCAAGTTCAGCCGCAAGAACTGGTGCAAATTTGGGAATTCTGGTGAAGTCAGCTGCCGCAAGGCCACAAGAAGGCGGCAAAAGGTGCCCAGCTAGCATCTATCATTAGTTAGGAGTTGCCACAGCATTGCGTGGGAACTGGATGCGAATCAGGTCTTGCCCGTTGGCCCCGTCTGCGCAAATATTGAGCATTAGGAGGCAGTAGCCTGACATTGACAGTTCAGGTGGCCATGGGCAACACGGGCAACGAGCAAGCATCGGCAAGTATGCCTAACCTTGCCCCCTGAAGTTCCACACGTGCAACATTTCACAAGACACCAGTGGGTAGCCGTTTTAATTTCCTCAATCGGCCTTTCCATGGCCTTGGGCTTTTGCTTTGCCCTTGGTTGCCGGTTTTATTTCCTGGAGCCAATCACTTTGCGCGTTCCCTGGACCCCTTGTTGGGCAGGGCTGCGAGCGGTGACCACCGTTGTTCTGCCCGAGCTGGTCACTGGTGTCCCACACGTCCTGTCCTGGCTCTGGTGGCCGTGATCGGCGAGCTCGACCAATCCCAATCACTTTGCGCGGGACAGTTCAAGCCCTGCCAATCAGCCGTGGTGGACTGGCCGCCACAGACACCAGCTCACCAGCTTCGGAGCCGTGAGGCAGCAAGGCGGGGCTGCTCACAGCCTGTACTTGTACCTGTGAAGTCTCCAGGGCACGCGCAAGCTGGTCGGGGCAACCCGAACCAATTTCCGCTACCACGCGAAAGCGCGCGGGGCTCCTTTCTTGGAACTCAATCAGGGCTCCAGTAGCTCAGGCTCAAGCCCGTAGATCTTGACAAGTGAAACGCTACCTACCACTGCGCAGAAGTTACAATAACTCAAAAAACTATATACTGTAATGGGTTTGTTCCCTGAGATAACTCCATGAGGTTATCTTGGATTACTCAATGTTACTTGCGCTTTGCTACAGAAAACACCCTAGCTGTCAGGCAAGATATAGAACACATTTTTCACATGTGGGATTCTAATTCCTTTAGGGGAAACGAGAACGAGAACAAGAACAAGAACTCAATTCAACAAGCTGAGTGATCTGACTGCCAACTATTTGATTTCAACAATGCCTCAGGAAAGTTGAGTCCTGAAATCTCCAGGTTGCTGGCTTCTGGTTGCCTGCAGGCCGCATCCAGTGGCCACGTCCAAGCGTTTCTCGGTCCGAACACCTTTGGTTCGGCTCAGGGGCTTGGAAGATCTTCGTTTGGCCCGCGACCTGCCTGATCCACCAGCGGCCGGTGACTGAGCATGCTTTTTACAAGTAAAGAGCTTGCTTGAAACATGACATATGTCTATATATATATATATACATGCTCCCCCACCAATACCAACCTTTTGTGCTTAGAATGACAAATGGCTCCTTTGGCATAATGTTAACTAGGATCAAGCAACCTCCCGCAAATAATTGCGCCCATCTCAAGCCCGCAGCGCTAAACCAATTTAAAGCCTAAGTTCCGCACTGGTCTCCCTCTAGTAACTTTGTTCTTGGCAGGGCCTCTATTAATCAAGCGCATCTGCCCCCAGAAAAATGACACAAGGCTTATTGATAAACTAATAAACTATTGTGTTTAGTTACTTTCTTTTCAGTTAGCGTCCAATAATGTCTTCTTACTATAGTGAAACCGGTCCATGGAGTTCCATGGTGACACTGATCTTCTGACCCACCCTTTTCCCGTGACTTCTGCATGAAATCATTCCAGCTGGTGCTGGTGTCTTCATCTTTTTGGATGCTGGTGCCTTCATGGTCTCATCTTGATAATTCTCTCCACCACCCCGCAGCTGCCCCAATCTGCTCACCCAACCTTCTGATGGCCTGTCCTGAATGCTCATGCTACAAACCAAGCCATGCTCATTCCATTCCACAGCCAAAAAAGTTATCTAGCAAGACTCTTTCATTTGCCCTTGTTATAATTCTATAAACACCTCAAGGTCTTCAAGCTCACAAAGGGCACCCGTCACACAGGCCCTACCCCCCTCTGATAGTGGGGCACCTCCCCTTAAGCCTCCATCTTGCCTTCCATCCCTTTCATCCTTCAATCTTCTCCCTTTTCCAACCCATCATCCCAATTAGACCATGCAGTATAGGCATCCACCCTCACCACATAGAGTCTCGATTGCCCATTCCTTCTCCATGTTCTCAATTGCAAGCTCCCAAATGGCATGGCTCTGATCTCTCATTGTTCTCATGGTTCAATCTCTCATGGTTCACACAGAATCCCATCAACCATCATCCATCATGAGGTCATCCGCTCTATTGGGGGGATGTGGTCTCCAATACCTCCCATCTCAAACCTTGTTGACCTTGTTGACCTTGAAGGGGGTGAACAAATATGTAATAGGATTTTTGGAAAGTTTCTTCATATCACATTATCACAGTCAAGCATTTCAAAATGGTTCACAAAACAAACTATAGCAGTTCACACCTCATCACCAAACCATCATTGTTGAAAGATTCATGATATAGTTTCACAAGAATTATATAATGAAGCATTAAAGGCTAGATTGTGCTCTGATTGGCCAGATTGTGCTCTGATTTATTTGATTTGAGATGGACTTGATCGTGCCCTTGGCTCATAGAACAATTACTTGAGAGGAGGGAGACACGAAAGGTAGGACAGCGGGAAGAGAAGAGAACGCGAGAGGCAGGAACAAAAATGCAATGTTCGACATGGTGATTTATCCCCTCGGAGGCGACCTTTCGTAAATATATGTTCATATGCACTCTAAATGTTCAAACATATGCTCTCGAAATGTTCAAAAAGGTTCTTAGGAAAACAAACTTGCCCCATGGCTCAGATCATCGGTGAGCATTGAATCGGAACATCATAGGATTTGAACTATCCTGAAACCATAAGAGGCTCACGAAGACGCTCCCCAGGAGAGAATTGACGTGCTTCACAAAACAAACTCTAGGTATGTATCCCCTCGGGGAACACCTTTCGTGATTAGAATTTCATATTCACTCTTTCTAAATGTTCAAGAGGGTTTCAACTATCCTGAAATCATGAGAGGCTCACGAAGACGTTCTCCAGGAGAGAATTGATTTTAGAGGGGGGGGGGGAGGGGGTCTGTATTGAAAAATCAATTCGAGGGGGGGGGGGTGGGGGGGGTCTGAATTGAGCGATCAATTATTTTACCCGGACGTCCCAACACTTGCTTCGCAAGACAAACTCAAGGTATCCCCTAAAGGGCCACCTTTCGTGACAAGCAGAACAGGTACTGTAGTGATTTTGTCTTCCCTTGTTTGCTTTGGCAAATATATACCTAATACCTATTGCCAACAAGCCATTAGATGTGTTTTCCTAGCATCACATAACAAACATAATTCTATTTTTTTTGCTGCTATTAGAGCTATGGTGGATGTTAAATTAAGTTCAGGAAAATTTAACTTCAGAAAAATGTGTTCATTTAATACTGTCATACTTGTTGTAATAATTCTCATACATGCATTGTTCTTTTACTGGATTTCAAGGCTCTTTCCAATGAAAGTTTTTTGTATACATATATATATATATAGTGACGTTGTGACTTGGAAAACCTCACCAAATTGCTAAAATGTAAAAACGTTGTGACTTTTCTCAGGAGAATGGATGATGGTTTTGATTCTCATGCGCTTGTGAGTCACAGCTGCGAGTGGTACCACATGTTGGATCATTGCAACTTGACCGCTCTGAGGCTGAGGCCATGCCAACCACGCTATGTGTAAACCTGTGGGCGTTTGACATTCACATACTAACTCACAGTACCTACCGTACCCAATATACAACTAATCCATGAGAACCATCCAACATATTTCAGAGTGCACCCCGAAATCATGGCATGGTGTAGCCTCATGCTGCCAATGATGCGGATGCAGGCAATCCAAAGCCTCGGCTGCCAAAAACAGTTTCTCCTGTGATTTGGAGACACTCTAGCTGGGGCTGGCAGGCCTTGACCTTCATGATGATTGCTCACACATGCGAAACTGTCTCTACGTACACAGTTGCATTCACCTTCGGATCTTTCCCTGCAACATTGCAGGCATGACCAGTGTGGCCAACAGTTTCCGACTTCAGTACTACCACTTCTGATCTTTTGTCCGGACACTCTGTCAGGATAGGAGAGTGTTTGCTGCTAGCTGGTTAATCAAGCATTGAGTATTGTAATCCAGGATCCCCTGACGGAAGCGCTCCAAATACGAAGGATTGGATGATGCCGCAAAGAGAAACTTCTATCTCAATGATCAGCCACCTGAGAGATCACGCTGCTTTGTGTTGCTTCTTCCAATGAAATGAATCTCAACAAGTATCAAAGTCAACATATATCATGTTGCATAGGTGCACTCCAGAGAAGGATCTCAAAACAGCCACCGCCATGCTGCTTCAAAAAACTACTACAGTGTATTACTACAGGACTCTACAGATTTTGGTGTACAAAAATGGCCAGGTATTGTCGATCTTGATTGTGTGTAGTTCTGCCTTTTATGCCAGGATTGCTATGTATAATGCTATGCTGCTATGTATTAGGATCAGGTTTGGGTTGTTGCCGTGAAATGTGCGCTTCGGTGTCAGGAAGGGAGAGAAACAAAGTCCTTCTACTGCCTTCAGAACAGCAAAAACACACAGACACAGCACGTCCGGCCACCACAACAACCACACAATTTCTAGACACCTGGGTTCTAGACGTGGAAATGAGTAGAAGCACAAACACATAGAATAAATGTTGCAACAAGCAACTCATGAGTGTTCTCGTATCTTCGTATAGATAGGTCTCACCCTGCATCAATGCAGGACAAAGCATCCAAGTTTGCTGCAAAGAATGTGGACAATCTTAGATCTTAGGATATGAAAAAAATAACGGTAGCCTCAAACATCGCTCCCCTGCATTGACGCCAATAAGATATGCCGGGCCACATCAAGGCTAAGCTCCTCGTCTTCCAGTGCTCCTGCACATTGCCTTCCACACGATCCTGGCCACTTTCCGTGCCATGGCCATTAAAGTGAACGCCCCAATTCACTGCGACAAGACACGACAATTGGGAAAGGTCGTGAGGTCCCCATTCTTTCAATTTCACTTTGATGGTTGAGACGGATCCACCATGCAAGAGCTTGCTCCGGGATAAAAAAAGACCGCAACCTTTAGTCGTAGTCAATTTGAGTAAGGAAAGCAACATGCGCTGGAAGTATTGACTCTCATCTCAAATATTGTCATTCCAAAAAGTGTGCTGAACACATTTGCATTGCTGCATTGGCTGAATGTATCTCACTGGATTCCGACTTTGTGCCTTGACCATGTGGAAGTAGATTGCGCCCAAGCCGCCCGAGAAAATGCTGGCAAACCTCAAGTGTTATTGCTTTGTCCACCCTTGCACTCTGTAATCTGCCTCTTCCATTGGTGTGGACACGTGGGAACCCAATAAAGGGGAAAGCGCTGTCATCGAACGTTCTCATTTGCCCCCACAACGATCGTAACATAGATTTGATTGACCCGAGCAAACAGCCAAAGAAGGGAGGAGACGAAAGTCAAGGCATCCAGCCACCAATCCACCCAACTATTAATCCCATCCGTCCACATCTACTTAAAGAGATTCTCTATCTATCTATCTATCCACTGCTCGTCTCTCTATCGCTCTATCTCTCTGCTCTCCATCTCGCTATCTCTCCAACTCTCTGTCCTCTTTTGTCCAGCCACCTATCCACTCACCTATTCATCCAATTAGCCATCCATTGACCTATCTGCACTCTACACACATCTATCCACATCTACTTATCATCTTTTTACATCTATATAGCCACATCTACTTAACAATCTCTCTATGTCTTCAGCTTATCTCCCTGATACTGATACTCTCTTCCCTCCACCAGCTAGCCACATACTTACCTACAAGCGTACTCAAAATGTTAAGATGTGAGCCATCATAAAACATCAAACCAGTGCATCATCGACATCGCGAAAACCACACAATCATAACGTTTTGACATTCTTTGACACCCGTTTTGCTTACCACTAAACAACTGTCGCCTGGCCTATCGGCTCGACTCTGCATACACCGTCAGGTCCGCACAAATTGTTTGCTCACGATGAGATGTCCACTGAGCTTTCAATGTGAGTCGAGCATCATTCAGTGTGAAACATAGAAAGCCTGTTGAGCTTAGTGCCTTAGCATGGCTGACCAACGTAGAAGCCATCTGGTTACAGCCACAGCCAAGAGCGCTTGGCTCTGAGCCCCCAGACGCCATGACAGCGGTGGCACGCTGCTGGATGTAGATCCACATACTGTTCCTTCAGATTCTATCACTTTGTCTTTCCAGGTCGCAAATGAGTACACCGATTGATGGGAATGCCGCCCGGGTGAAAACATGTCGCCTGACAAACAAAAGCTTTCACTCACTGAGAATATTGCTGCGCCGTAAGTAGCCAGTTCAAAGGCACAGATATTTGTTGAAACCTTCTCTTGCTTAGCTGCAGTTGCCAGAAGGGCATTTCTCATTGTTCAGCTCTGGTGTCCCTTTTGAGACAACGGGACAACAAAACATTGGAATCATACGGGACAACTGGATGCAAAAGTCCAATCTTCTCCAAATGTCTCCAAGCTGGTCGCACTGTTCTGAACACATTCGAAGAGAGTCGGTTTGGAGAAGTAGTGATCTGATGTTTATCCAAACTAAGAGGCATACATCCGAAATCAAATCAGGTTTTCTCCCCGTGGTCCGCCCTTTGGTGAGTCCGAATGGGTGTTCGCACCTCAGGATCTGCGCTTCGCCAGGTGGGCCATCACAACTGGAGCGGAGAGAATGTGCCCAGTCTCGAAACAAAACTGCAAAAATATAGTATAGTAGTAGCCTAGCACTTAGAATGTTTACCCTTTCACTTCACCGTCACCAAAAAACGGACGTCCGGGTGAAAAACGATGCGGATAGAATATCCCCATGCAAATAGAATAGTTTAACATGGCACATAGAATATTAAGAAAGGCATGCCAGCCCAACTTCTGTGATGCATGAGACACGAAGATTGCAACGGGAAAGAAAAGCTGCGTTTTTTCAGATGTACAGTCGTTCCAACCGCGAGCGTGCGGGCAATATTCTAACTGCAAGAATGTAAGACCCTGTGGTTCAAGAAAATCAGGTATTCTAGCTGCATACTTAATTTCTGAGTATTCTAACTGCCGGCCTACTACTATAATATATATATATATATGTACACATTCACTGGATATATTAGCTATATAATAGAGTCGTATGATATTTAATAAACAACTATCATATATATATAGTATAATATGATTATATATATACTTATTGGAAAGATTTGGAAAGGATTAGGATGCTGGTCCGTATTTTCAACAGTGGCCTGAGTGACCTGTGAGAAAAAAGCTCCATGACAACCGTATATAAATAGCTGTCATTGACACAAGGTAGCAGTAGCGAATGGGGTCTAAAGAGAGATGCCTGTGTTGGAATTGGAGCGTTGCTGAGCAACGAACACAGACTCCATCAGACTACATTGATTTGAGCTGTGCCGAAAACCTATTGGAACTGGCTTTCTAATCCTAGCATCCTTTCACAACAGGCTATCGCGGTCCTTTCGCGACCACAGTTTTGCCTTTCGCGGGCATACGCTATTTGCTCAGCCCTTTCGCAAAAAACAAGAACTTAAAAAGGGCGACTGCGGACACATATGTACAATAAACATGTCATCCAAAATGTCCTTGCGCATATTCCTTTCGCAGCCATGTGTTTATGATGTCTTCCGCAATAGCTTTCTCGAAGCTTTCGCGACTTGAGTTTTGCCTTTCGCGGGGGGTATGTCAGGACTACTACATGACACAAACTGTTCATGGAGGGTTTTTGACCTGCCTCATTTGGTGAGCTTCCCCATGTCCATTCAAACATCTGTCGGTGTTTCTCATGACTCATGCTAAAGACTCAAGTGGCCTGCCTTGCATGTATCGTCCCTGGCTTTCCTGCTGTTCTTGCGCAACACAAATACAACGCCTAGAGTTTGCCGAGTTTCTCGAGGTTTTGCAGCTTTGGCCTGGAGTCAAACTCCTGTGTGCACCACAACCTCAGAAAAATGCTCAAACAGTGAAAGTGATGACCAGGTTGACAGTAGTAGGGTTAAAGGATAAAAAAGCTGTAAGGATGCTACACAAGCAACTTGGTGTCGTGAACAGGTCTGATCATCCAATACGACTGTAGAAACAAACAAATGTGATCAAGCGTAAACCGGCTGCCATTCTCTGACTCTTGAGTCTTCTCCCACACAGACTTCGTAGGACACCCCTGCCTCAGCACATAAACGTGGATCACCAGCTGCGCCATGACATTCCAGACCCCAGCCATGCCATTCACAAAGTGAGTCTGCCAAACAGAGTGGTTTAAATCAATTGCAAGGAACAAACAATTTGGATAGAATCATTCAGTCTTCACTGTCTTCACTTCCACGGTCTGATTTTCTGGTAAGTCAAAGAGTTTAAAGCAGCTTTGTGCCACTCTGGCATGGAAAAGACTGCCATTTAGATGTTCCGAGCACAAACACCATGAAGCAGGCTTCAATTGCAAAAAAGCGGAAAGTGAGATGCACAGCCTCGGAATGAAAGGACAGGAAAGAACTACGGAGTTTACACGGACGAAGACGCACGAAGTTTACTAGCCCCGCCTGCACAAACTTCGCCAACAAGGGCGACAATCTCCAAGAGAAGGTCAAACGACTCCTGGCGCCATGTTGGTGGCTGAAGCGAGTCAGTTCCATGCCCCTGCGTGGATTCCATTGCTAGAAATTGTTGAGTAGCGGATAGCTGATCATAATGATTTCTGCAGCCTCCACGATGGCAATTCCAAAAATGCCAAGAAAGATGAGGACAGCACCTCAGGCATCTCAGGGATAGAACAAAGTGTTGCACCTTTTTGCTCAGGTGAAGTGTTGCACCTTTGACTAAAATGCATCTGTCTCCTCAGAATGTAACATGTCATAACTTGCCTCTCAAACTTGCGACTCTCTTGAGCGGCACATTCACATTGTGTTACTAGGGCTCCTGGCATCGCTACTAGGAGCAATCGGACGCTACTAGGGGCTCCTGGCAACAGCCTCTCTGAGGCCACTCACGTTCCACTCACCTCTCCGAGCCCCCATGCGTAGACCACCTCGGAGAGGCCGAGAGCATGGCGCTTGGCCTGAGTCCATCGGCTGCACAAGGTCTCCCAATACCTCGGTGCTCGAGCAGTGGCTCTCCTCAAAAGCGAGAACCATCATCAAATCTATAAAAAGGAATCAGCGAGGATGGCGAGCTCATGATGATGGCTCTGATGAATGATTTGACCATACGCCGATATACGGTGTGGAAAAGCTGTAAGGTGCATGGTTTGCCTTGATCAGGAGTCACACCCACAACTTCTGGAGCATTGTTTAGAAGGTGCTAGGAGACATGGCAGGGGTGTGATTGGATTTTGGCACTTTTTGAGAGAGCAAACCTCTCATGGCCATTGTAAGCCATGTAACACCCAGCGCAAGTCGTTCTTCGACTTCTTTGACTTGTTGTTGCTGGTCACTTAGGGAAAGACCCGTCTTCTTCCGGCGTATAATTCAGCACCGGCAAGAAGATAGGGAAACACCTGACGCAAACAAAACACCAAGGCTACCTTTAAGCATCGCTACTAGGAGCAAGGACGCTACTAGGGGCTCCTGTTCAAGCTGAGCGCGCCTCACACGGCCTTCGGTCTTCACGCTGCATTTGGCGAACATGTGCCAATCCTGCGAGGGCGAAGCCCAAGTTCTCTGATTCTGGAATTCCAAGAACACAGCCAAAAATGAGAGTGGCGTGAAACCACATGAGACTACCACTGATCTGTCCTACCTCTGCCAAATGATCAGGATCCCAGCCGCCCACAGCAGAGGCCAGGGCCTGTGCGTAGAAGACTTTGCACTTGTTGTTCCTAGTAGCTTCTTGTTACTAGTAGTAATGCACCTGTTACTAGTAGCGATGCACCTGTTACTACCAGTAGTAGCTTCTTGCTACTAGTAGGCTTCTCCAAGGTTTTACAGTCACGTGTTCAAGGTTGTATCAAGCATGGACGAGTCAACACACAATTTAGCCAGAAACAAATGGGCTGTAGACCAGTGATTGTACACTTGGCCTCACTCAGTCAGCAAAGGCTTTTGTGACACCTCAACCAGCATCCTGGTCGCTGTAATTAATCTACCTCATCTATCTTGGGATACCTTGTGTTCACATCGCACGAACAAAGTAGCTGGAAAGCAAATGATGGGACAACAGCTTTACTATATAAATGGTGTCTTGCATTGGTTGGGTGAACACCGCAGTGCTCTCTGAATACTTAATACAAATTATACATCACAAAACCACTACTTTCCCTTGTCTAGCTATGGGTGTGGACAATGACATGCTAAGTTTGGGGGGTCAACCCTTAAAGTGCCCTTTAAATATCGTTAAATGCACATGCTGCAGAAAGCAGCAACCCCAACCAAACATCCAGTCGAAACACTAACACCCAACTCCCCGATTGACAGCTGAGACTACAGCCAAGCTGATCGAGTATGTCGAGTAGGTCACCTGAACAAGCAAACCAACCTCATATGTTCTCAGGAAAAAGAACAACAAAATCCATGCATCGATGTCGTGCAATCATCAAGTAAAGTGCAACACAGACTAGTAAATCTATGGCCGCTTATTTGAACAAACAGAGGAGAAGGACGACATGGCCTAAACATACACTCTGGCCCAAGGCTGCCAAACGAAACGCTTCGCCACGCCCTTACACCATCTAATAATTCCACACCAAAAATGACCAAAAAGCGTCACCAAAGCTCAGGGGTCACTGCCTACCGTCGCTTTCTGTCAGCTATACAAGTCCTATATTAAAGCCATTTCTAGAGTCTAGAGCTATAGAGTTATATTATCGATCTCTTGTTTGAAATTTCTCTGACTCTCCCGACGCGACCTATCCCAAACGTCGCTTCTCTCTCTCTCTCTCATCTCCCTGCCCTATACACAGTGATTCTCTGGCGCGCTCCCCCATCAGCTGGGGTCGGCGGATATATAGTTATATTGTCAAAAGGTCATGTAATTACAGTACATGTACAGATATGTACAGTACAATGTATATAATAACGCGTTAATAAATACTACAGGACAGTGTGTCATGTGTCATTCAACTGAATCGAAAAGCTCTAACACTTCCCGTATGGGCCGCATATTCGTAACTTCAGCGACGTGAGGATCCGTGCATGGCAGTCAAAAGGGTTGGCCAAGCCTCAGTCGCAGGAAACCTTTCAAAGCTCCTGTAGCACTTTGGCATCAAAACCTCTGGACCCAATTCGACCCCATTCTTTCAAGCCCTGTTTGTGCACAAGAACTCCTATAGTTGATGATTGTGCATAACATTCTGAGGGAGGCATGGGGGCAACGTACATTATCGCACCTTCCTCGCCCCATTGGTGTTCAAGAGCCTGTTTCTCATTACATATCTTCATAGCACGTCACCAACCTGAACACCTCCAGATGCCCAAAACAATGAAAGCGAATAGACGTGAATAGGCTGAAGCGAGTTTGAACAGGTCTGCCAGGTGATGGCAGAAGTCCTTTTTAAGTCTTAGGAGTCTGCCAGCTAATTCGCTGAGTGTGGAGAAGAGGGAAGAGATCCTCACCAGCACTGGCTGCCTGGCAGCAGAGCCAGTGCCGCACTGTGGGCACAACAAATGCGCGTCAAACAGGATGACAAAGGAAATCAGAAAATCTGCATACATGCTTTGGTCCATTTGGCCGGAACACGAATAGAAGAACATAAAGCCAGTGGTTGGGAGGGAAACCCTGTTCTACTGCACATCCATATCATCAAGATCACCAAGTCGAAGTCACTTCTGTGCGGCAGGCAGCAGGCAATGGCCAGCCTCAAGAAGTTCTTGAAGTGGCAAATCGGCGGTTGCCAGGTCCTCAAGTACCTTGATTCTTTGTTCAGAGTGAAGCAATGTCCAAAGAAAGCTGGGGTTTACTGTGCTCACAGTACGTTAATAGGGACAGGTAGAATACTTTCTTATGCTTTGCAAAGAACTCCTTCAGATATTTAGATACATCATTATGTTTATTAATGTATCATTAATTATATTTATATATAGCATATCCGAGTGAGTGATTGAAATTCATTGTGAACCATCTCCAACATAGGCCATGAACTCGAGTCTAGACCCTCTGGGATGCATCCCTGGGGACACAGAAGAGAGAGTGCCTTAAATTCGGCCCAGCTGTCATGAAGTGATAGGTCAAGGCCTGGCAAAGGAATTGGGCGATCGGTGAGCGCCCCAAACTCGCAACTGACTGGCGACTATATAAAAACACTCCAGCACATTTTGGTTGGGACTCCGTGACTACGAAGGAATACTCGGGAAGAACAGTTTCCATAATTTCAGCACTTGAGCCTGAACCTGGACCACTTGGGTGACTCCAAGTCTCCGAGGCTGATCCCTTCAAAAAGGTGCCGTTTTTGTGAAGTACGAATTGCAAGGTACTCCAAAGCAGGCGTCGCCTCAAAATACTTTGGATGCATACCTGAGCTGGTGGCGAAGCGCAACAATCTGGCGTCTGACTCTGCTCGGTGTCTTTTCTACTTTCTATGTTGAACTAATAACGACCAACCCATCTTGAATGAACTGGTCATTAGCATAGATAGCAGGATATTTTTGCAGCGCTTCTTCTCCCTGCGCCATCTACCACTCTCGAAAATACACCGAGCCTTGTTCCAGTTCCAGTGTGTGTGTGTGTGTGTGTCAACACCTGTCTCTAAGGTTTCTGCATTCCATGTGTAATTTGATTAATTCACTTCGAGTGGAGCATCGAGTACAAGCAGGAGGCCGGAGCCAGATGGGGGGTCTCCGGCCAATGAAGACACCCCCGACCTGGGTGAAAACGTACCTGCGTTTTTCCAATTTAATTCTTAATCAAGCTCAAAAAGTGCTAATGCAAGATGAAAACAATGTTGAAACATCTCCAAACTTCTGGACTCCATCGCCTCTCCGTTCTGCATTTTTGGGTCAAGGTCTAGTCGCACTACAGGGGAAAACAATGTTGAAAAATCTCCAAGTTTCCGGACTCCATCGCCTTTCCGTTCTGCATTTTTGAGTCAAGGTCTAGTCGCACTAAATGGGAAAACAGGGTTGAAACATCTCCAAATTTCCGGACTCCATCGCCTTTCCGTTCTGCATTTTTCCCCAGATAGCTGGAACCTATAGGGGTTCTTACTTCTCAATGGATGAGTTCCGGATTGCGGAAATTGGCTGCCGCTGCCGCCTTGTTTCCTAAGCTTGTCTCCCTTCATGACTTCGCTCTTGGCTGCCGCTGCCATCTTGTTTCTCAAGCTTGTCTCCCTTCATGATTTCGCTCTTGGCTGCCGCTGCCGTCTTGTTTCTCAAGCTTGTCTCCCTTCATGACTTCGCTCTTGGCTGCCGCTGCCGCCTGCTCTCCCAAGCTTGTCTCCCTTCATGATTTCGCTCTTGGCTGCCGCTGCCATCTTGTTTCTCAAGCTTGTCTCCCTTCATGATTTTGCTTTTGGCTGCCGCTGCCGGCTTGTCTCCCAAGCTTGTCTCCCTTCATGATTTCGCTCTTGGCTGCCGCTGCCGTCTTGGCTGGCGCTGCCGGCTTGTCTCCCAAGCTTGTCTTTTTTTCATGATTTCGCTTTTGGCTGCCGCTGCCGGCTTGTCTCCCAAGCTTGTCTCCCTTCATGATTTCGCTTTTGGCTGCCGCTGTCGCCTTGTCTCCAAGCTAGTCTCCCTTCATGATTTCGCTCTTGGCTGCCGCTCCTTGTCTCCCCAAGCTTGTCTCCCCTCATGATTTCGCTCTTGGCTGCCGCTGCCGTCTTGTTTCTCAAGCTTGTCTCCCTTCATAACTTCGCTCTTGGCTGCCGCTGCCGGCTTGTCTCCCAAGCTTGTCTCCCTTCATGATTTCGCTCTTGGCTGCCGCTGCCGCCGTGTTTCCCAAGCTTGTCTCTGTTCCTGATTTCGCTCTTGGCTGCCGCTGTCGCCTTGTCATCTTCTTCCCTGCCTTTGACGCGGATGCTGTTATAAGATGATTTAGGTCTTGTTTACCTTTTCCATCCTTTTCCCGGCTTTGAGTGGGATGTCTCCCAAGCTTGTCTCCCATGCAGCAATGCAAACTTATGTTGGGGCCAGATATTTGAGCGCTGAGTCAATGGTAAGCCAGCCCATTTTTGCGAAAAATTGCATTTTAGCGGGGTGTCCGATTGCACCTGCCTTAGCCAAAGTTATCATGGGTCCTATGGTTACGACCTTTGTTGATAAAATAAAGCCGTGGGTGACGGATGTGTGGGTTGACGACGTTTCGGTGGATTTGGCGGCGGCAAGCAGTAGGGAACTTGCAAGGTTGGTCTTGCGTGCTTTCCGTATTCTTCGCGAAATCTTTGCTGAACACGGTTTTGAACTCTCCCCTACCAAGACTGCCTTCTTGGTGTCGCAAAATGAAACTGCTCGCTTAATTAGACAGCAGAGTGAGTACATGATGTTGTAAAAGATTTGGGTGTTGACTCCACTGGTTGTCGGCGGCGGCGTATTGCTACCCAAAAAGCCCGACAATCTAAAGCTGTAGAGTGCTCAAAGCAACTCCTTTTGCTTAAAATTCCGGTGAGGCAGGTGCGGATTCGCCTGGTGCATGGGTCACTGCACCCGGCTATGCTCCATGGAATTGAGGCCCATGGTTTACCACCCTCTCGCATGCG